AATTTGTGGTAAAAATTCGGTTAAAAGGAAAAAAAATTCCCCTTAGGGAATTTCCTTTTTGCAAAAAATGGGCCCAAAAAATGGGGGGGTGGTTTTTAAATTTTTTTTTAAAAAAAAAAAAAAAAAGGAAATTTTTTTTAAAAAAAAATTTTGGGGGGGGGACCCCTTTTTTTAATTTTCCCAAGTGGGGGGGTTGGATTTTTCCCAAATAAAAAGGGTTGGGGCCCCTTTTTTTTTTTTTCAAACATTTACGGGTCAATTTTTTTTTTTTTTAAAGGGGAAAACGGTAAACCCCCTCCCATTTTGTTTTTCCCCCCCCCCGGGGGCCCCCCCCCCCCCCCCCCCGCCCCCCCCTCCAACTACTCCAATCATATAAATTCTCCATTACACATAATACACACAAATACACACACACAATATACTCAAAACACACACACAACACACGGAACATAAGGAAAATGGGTGGTGGTGGCATGATGAAGAGGGAGCTGCCGGTGAAGGTGGTGATAATCAACACACAGTACGTGGAGACTGACGCAGTTAGCTTCAAATCTGTCGTTCAAAGCCTCACCGGAAAAGACTCCACTGTGGCGGCGGCTGGCGCCGCCTCCCCAGAGAAGTCGAAGTTGAAATCAAGAAGTAGTGGCGCTTCGGCGTTTAATTATAATAGTAATAGTAATAGTAATAGTAATGCGATCGAACGAGTTGTTGAACGAGGAGTGTCGTTCAAAGATTTTGATAGGATGCTTAAGGAGTTGCCTTCGCTTGATGAATTGTATACACTTTATGCCGAATAATAATTAGATTTTCCACGTACTCATGACTATGTTTTATTTTATTTTTATTTGACGTGTATATTCATTTATATATATTGATTCTTTCTTTTATTGGCCTTTTCTTTTTCTTCGTCGTCCAAGATTTTGTTTTACAACATATAATATGATGATGGTTCAATTAATGAAGATTTTGATCTTGTTATAACGGTGATTAGTTTTTGATTCACCGTACCGGTGCGATGATGTCAGCATAATCTTGCTTACGTCAGTCTTCAACTTTCATTGGAATCTTGGTCGAACGTCGTTCCTGCAACACTGGGAAGGGTTTCCCGGTATAAAAACCCCGACGATCAAGTAAGCAGTATTTCAAGTGTATATTGTGTGATTTTGATAATGAAGCATTAGAAAACAAGAGTTTGAGTGATAGTTATTTTGTACCTTGAGAAGCAATTTTTTTCATTAGAGTTTTTAAACGATTTCTCTCTTGGGCATGCCACATTTAGTGGGCTTTTAGATTAAATACGCGTGCCCAAGGTCACACCACAACACCTTGTGGCTTTAACTCTTGTCGCAGTGCAACGTAAGGTACGAACGACATTTTCTCTCTCGATGGGTTTTTATATACTCTTTTAACAAAACTGAATTTCTATCTTTGGGTTACCTTTCTTAGGCCTTATGTGCAATTAGTCTTATTTACTTAGACAAGGCCCGTATGGGCGAGTTAGCCCAAATCCACTACCCCTATTCCAAAATTTGAATTCCTAATGTGAAGTAATTAAGATCCCGCATTTTCTTCATTATATGGCCACATGTCTGACATCCATAGATCGGACGGGGCGGCATGCCTGAGATTTTAATCGACTGTTCCTATGTCGCATAATTATTATTACAGCGTGTCGGGAAGTTAATTAGGGCCACTCGCTTGAGCGGATGAGATCTTCTGATCTTTCGAATTCTGCCCCTATAAATACTTCTTTTTCTTTTTGATTTCATTTTTTACGCTCATATTTCTTTCTTCTTCTTCCCTTTTTTGATTTTATTCTTTACGCTCATCTTCCATTCTTTTTCTGTGATTTTTTCTCTGGTGATTTGCTTTTGGCTTTATGCCAATAAAGGTGGCGATAATCAATACAAAGTACGTGGAAACTAACGCAGTGAACTTCAAATCGGCAGTTCAAAGTCTCACCGGAAAAGACTTCATTGTGGCGGCGCAGCCGCCGCAGAAAAGCCGAAGTTAAAATTAAGAAGTCGCGGCGTTTCAGGATTTAATAATAATAACAATGCGAATGAAAGGGTTCTGGAACGAGATGCGCCTTTCAATGATTTTGATAGGATGCTTAAGGAGTCGTGATGAATTGTATAAGAATAGTATCATACATAAAAATTCCTTATGGGTAACAACTTTTTCACCTTTTAAGTGCTAAATTATAATTTCAGTCAACTCTAAACTTCTAGAGCTTGGAATTATGAAATTTCCCATAGTATGGGGAGAGTTCTATAGTCAAGTTTTCTCTCCGACAAAAGGGAATAGAGGGTTACAGATTTAGACTAATAACAAAAAATACATAAACACTTTTGGGAGTTGAAAACCTAACAGAGAATCTACGAACAACTTTCTGTTATGGCTCAATTTTTTTGTCATTTTTCCCGTCCAGAATCCACTGGCGGTGACACCAACAACCCAATATTATGCCCGGTCACCAGAACCCTAGATCTTGCCATAATCAAACAGATTTATGGTCAAGTCTCTCACCTAAATTCCCACTTCAAGATTCAAACTTTCTCATGTTTTCCTCACTGATCAGAAGTGAATCTCGCGCGCTCACCTTAAGAACAGAGATTACTAAAATCAAACGAAGATTCAAATTGTGTGTTTGTTATTCTTCTTCTCTCCCTCACACACACAAGGCGTTTGATATATCAATGGAAAATGATGTTGTCTCTAAAACAAAGAGCATGCGCAAAAAAAAGTTGTACCACCGGTAAATGCCGAGAGACATTCAATGCGGTAGTACGAACAGATCAGAGAGAGCACAAAGATTGAAATTTAGGGTAGTGAAAGAGGTGGAGAGGTATACCTCGAAGTGAATTGTTCAGATCACTCGGTGGAAATCAATGGTCAGGATCAAGACTTTCGAGACTTCCAAACAAACCAACATACATGGGCTTCGTTGTTAGGCCGCCTCGCCTCAGATGGAAATTGTTAAATGGGCTGATTATTAATAATTCATTTAGGCCCAAGAAACCAACATACTATTTCCACAATCTGAAAATGACACTTCATCAAATTTACTAGTGTATTCTTCATTTAATCACATAATTAATTAAGAAAAAAATTCTATATATTTCTCTTAATCTTTATTCCCACTCTCTAAGTTATTCTCATCTTCTTTATTTATATGTCTATAAACCCTAAGATCCCAAATCATGAAAAACTAAAAACCATATCAAATCAATTGAAATATAAAAATAGAAAAGGGGGAATTAATATTTGCACTTCGTATAGTCCACTCATACTAGAGAAGATTTAGAATGCTAAAATGAATGTATTCAAAATACTAAATACAAAACACTGATTTACTAATTAGGCTACATATCTACACGTGCATGTATATGCAGTATTTAACTGTGCTGCTCACCGTATGTATATACAGTAGGTGAAGTTAGTGCAAATGGCTATAAGCAATGCGCATCAGCGGCGGCGGTGGCACCTCTGTCACTCTCCTAGCTGTCAATGTAGCGGCATCGTTAACAGTGGTGAAATCAGAATTTTATCATTAGGGGTCCCCAATATGCATAAGCAAATAATAACAACAATAATTGTTCTAACATTGGCTAGTCTAGGATATTAATAGTTGTTACACGGTGGACTTCAATTTTTGGGGATTGGGGGGCAGCACGCCCCTAATTGTTTTGTAGGATTTTTTTACAATATCAGAAGATAGGTAAAGAAAACTTATGATTTTTTTATTTTTTTTTTTAGTTTGGAATATATGTTCACTAAATGATAAAAATTGGGTGGATTTAATAAATAAATTGGTGTAATGTAATGGAATTTTTTTCAATTGAGGATTGGCTGTCCATTATTTCACAAGGGTGGATTCGCCCTTGGTTCCATGTCACATTTCATAACTTCTTTATCATATTTGTTAGATCGGTATTATCATTTTTCTTTGTTTTCAATCAATAAAAAATACATAATTTTATTTTTATTCTGTTAGAAAATTATAGAACCACAATAAAAGAGCAATAAAAATATATATACATATATTGTATAGTAGTAAATTAAAATTAAAATTTGAGAGGTGCTATAACCCCTGCCCTACACTGACTTCCCCACCGAGCGTCAAAGTGGCAGCGGCGGCGAGGATTCATTTCAAAATAACGTAATAAAAATTAAGTTCCAAGAGCGCATCTTCAATGCTAAACTAAAAAAATCTCTAAAAAATTTAAGTGTCAAGTACCAAATGTAAATCTTAAATTTTTTTCTATCCTATTTGATAGGATTGAGATTCTCTACCGTAAAGTTTTCTCCAATGCAAAACTCGACACTCAAAATATTTTCTTAGAAAGTGAAAGAAAAATTGTATAAAATGATGAGTTGGCACTTTAAAGATCCTCAAAATGACACTCTAATTTCACAAGTGTCATCTTAAGAATCTCTAAAATCACAAGTGCCACCTCATTGCCACATCATGTGTAGATTTTTCTTATGATTTGCATAGAAGATAATTTCTTAACAAAAAGATCAAAATATCATACGTGGCACTCTAAGTATTTGAGATGAGTTTAGCACTAGGGCTGGGCATTTGGGATCGGGATTCGGGATCCCGTCCCGTCACTCGATTGAAATTTTACTATTTGGGACTAAAACTCTAAAAATTCGAGATTACGGGATTCGGGATCGGGATTAGGAACAAATACGGGATCGGGATTCGAGAACTGGTTCAATCCCGACCGGGATATTTTAATCCCGAATTAGGAAAAAAAAAAGAAAAAAGAAACTAATAAACAACACACACACACATACACACACACACACACACACACACACACACACACACACATATATATATATATATATATATATATATATATATATATATATATATGAAAATTTGGGATTACGGGATTCGGGATCGGGATTAGGAACAAATACGGGATCGGGATTCGAGAATTGGTTCAATCCCGATCGGGATATTTTAATCCCGAATTAGAAAAAAAAGAAAAAAGAAACTAATAAACAACACACACACACACACATTTATATATATATATATTATATTATATGTGGGAAAGAAAAAAAATGGTTGTTTAACTTTTTTTCTATGGTATTGCATTTACAATTTATATATGGCGGCAGATATATGCAAGCCCATTTTTTTATTAGTTTAAACCCATATAAAGGGGTTTATTAGTTCAAGCCCGTAAATTAATCTAATCTTATTACATCAAGACCAAAGAGGACGAATATAGCCTTATCCACAAATAATACCCAAATTACAAACAAACCTTATTTTTAGTTTGTTCAAGACCAAAAAATCAAAAAAAAAAAAAAAAAAAAAACTCACGACTGCCGCCGCAACGCTGACCGCCGGCGACAACCAGCGACCCACCAACTGCACAACCACCAACAATTAAGTCCTTTTTACTAAACTTTTGTTTGTAAATTCTAAAATATTAATCGAGCATTGATTCTTCATAAATATGCGTGGATGAATATTAATCTATGCTTATTTCTTGTTGGGTTGGAATGCTTTAGTCGATTTTGGAAAAAAACTTGAGATTGTGTTTTCGTTGGTTTCCGAAATCGGTTTACCCAGACCGATTTTGTACACGAAAATCGGCGTCATAATGCCGATTTTTGTTAACCAAATCGGCGACATAACGCCGACTTTACTAGTAAAAAAGCGGCGTTGTAATGCTGATTTTTTATTTTTTTTTAATGTTTTGTGTTTTTTATTTGGTTTTGAATTTCATTAAGGGTGAATTAATATTTTTATGTTGGAGGTCTTGAACTAATAAAAAATGAACTTGCATATATCCGCCGCCTTTATATATAGTGTCAAGGAGATGAGGAGTACAATATAATATATCGTTTCAACTTATCTTTAAATTTTTTAAATTTTATTTGTTCCGAGTTTCGTTGTAAAAATAAATAGTGCAAGAACAATAGTATGTATATAATATATT